CTAAACTAGCTAGAGTGTTTAGAAAACATGGTACCTCGACGCCAAAAAAAAGTATTTTTGCAATTGAAAATGGTATTAAACCCTACGCCGCTTATTAGGTTGCACATTATATCCATAAACAGCTCCGTTAACGCCATGAATAATACAAAATATTTTCCAATCTAGCTAAACGAGTGTTTAGAAAACATGGTACCTGGACGCCAAAAAGTGGTACCTTCAGTCCAAAAATGTGGTACCTTTGGAAAAAAAGTGATACCTTCGCAAAAGGGCATTTTAGGCAACACATAAAATAGGAAGAATGGTATTTTAGACAACAGAAATATGAAACAGTATTTTTTCATGTGCCACCTCAGCTTTTGGGTTAAACACATTTAGAGAAATTATTGACTTTGACTCAATGTATGGGTAAATATGGGCCGCTAAGTTCATTTATATGTAATAATCACTCTGATATATATCTTTCTGTGGGTATATATGTATATAATATTTTATTTTTTAATTTACTGTCTTCAAACTAGTGGGAATAAGAGGCGCTGTAATGTGAAAAAAAACGAATTCACTTTCTATCACGGTTTTAAAATAACCATGATAGAAAGAGTGGTAGAAAGAATAAATTTGAGTGAAATAAATTCACTTTCTACTATGATTATTTTTTAATTGTGATAAAAAATATAAATACTATCATGGTTTTTCACTAACTGTGGTAAAATAAATTCACTTTTTACCACGATTATAAAGTAACCGTGGTAAAAAATATAATTATTATCACGGTTTTCCATTAATCGTGGTAGGAAGGATCTTCTACCACGGTTTTAAAATAACCGTGGTAGTAATTGTGGTAGAATGTGCGTAGTAAAAACTATTTTTCTTGTAATGTTTGTAACTATTAAAAGCCCTTTTAGTAGTTACCAAACAAATCTAAATGCACTTTTTAAAACAAAACTGTTTTTAAGCCGTTGAAAAGTAATTCCAAACATATTCTTATTAAGATGTAAGAGTGTGTATTATCCATGGTTTTGTTTTATACATTGTGTCGCTTTTAGAATAAAAGAAGCATTTTAGTCACTAGAATTATGGTTGGTGAAAAGTATTTTAGGTATTTGGTGACATATTATAATAAGTCATTTTTTCTAATTAAATTGTTTTAAAATTTTTTTGATAATAATATTTTTTTTAAAAACTTGTATCGCTAATTTTACAATAATATCCTTTAATTTAATGTTACCATATTAAAAATAGCAACTTTATAAAAGAAAAATTCTTTATAAAAAAGTTAAAAATGATAAAATTGTCTAAGGAAAAATAGTTACTTAAAATAAATCTACTTATAACGCAGTTTTAAAGTGTAACGACCCAAAAAGATACCAATAATAATAATAATAATAATAATAATAATAATAATAAAATATAAAATTTCGGCATGACCCCGTAGAAAAGCCCCTCTACAACCTGTTGAAATACATAAAAATACAATAGCCTCACTTGACCTTAAAACTAATCTATCATGTTCCAGTGCACAATGCAAATAATATACAACATCCCCAAAATCAACACATACATATAAAAAGTCTCGTTCCTCTATCTCATCCAAATAAGGAATCACCAGTTCACTACCTAGTCCCATAATCCTTTACAAGTAACGCACTTTAATTACATTGAGTTACAGTCCTGAAATATAACTAAAATTTAAAAATCCATAACTTACAGCATTATATAAATTAAACTAAAGTTTCACATAATAGTTAAGATTACATTCACAAAATATTAAAGTTCTAATACAAAAGATCGATAGGAAAATATAGATCTCCAATCTCGTCTAAACTTGTGGTGGATCGTCATCCGCCACCTCTTTTCCGTATCCTGAAAATATTAAAGTAATGGGGTGAGCCAACCGCTCAGTAGGAAGTGTCTAAGACACACCTCTTATGACACCGTGAATCCACGCAAAGAATAGGTAAAAAGTAAGCGGGATCATGCCATAGGGAATGCACATCAATAATTACAATAACAAGTATATAAATAAATGTTATCCAATCACAAATACACCATATATGCTAATGAAGTGCAATGTTATGCCAATGTCGTTCTCCATTTTCCAAAACAATTCCGTTTCACCATTCCAAATCGTTCATGCAACCCGACCCGTAGCACCTCTATGGCGTCACGAGGGAAGGATTAGCTAGCTATCCCCGACCACATGGCACATCCATGGTGTCATCTAGGCCTAGGTATCTCACCCACATTAGGGTCTCTCCCTAATTCTCCCTGGATCACATTAATGCCATGGACTATTAGGTACCTCCTAGGCGTCCGGGTTTTCGCAAACCTTTTTCAAATCATTTCCTAAAAATAAGTTTCCATTTTCTTTCAAATCATTATACCCATTTCTTGCCCAATACCATGCATGAATGCTTCATGCCTTTCAAATGCCAACACAATTTGCAATTTCCATACATACAACACCAATTATATTTGCATACTTTGAGGTAATTGTTACAATATTTCCACATACAACAATTTATCATTTATGGCAATTTGAATATATAAGGCGTGCTTTGGAAGAAAATTTACATATTAAATTCCAAGTAGTCAACCTCACATTAATAACACATAAACATTTTAAGCACAAGACACTTTAAATAAATTTAGATAAATTAATTCACTAAAATAAAAAAATGTGTATATTAGAAACCCCTGCCTTAATTAAAAGAAAAATGCCCAAATTGTATCCAATTTTTGAATTCCCAATTGGTGGTCAAACGGAGATTAACTTTGATCAAAATGACGGCCTCGACGAGCTCTCCGACTTTGCCTTAAGTGGTGAAGCCATATTCCCAAAGACAAAATCTAGATCAAGGCTTAAAGTGATGGAGAAATAGAAAAAGAAAAGGAAGAAGACACATTGGAGAGGGAGAAAATGACGTTTGGAGAGAGAGAGAGAAAGAGAGAGAGAGAGAGGTGATTGACTAATGGCCTTATCGCCATTATAAGGAATAATGGTGGGTCCCACAAGTTTTTTTCTCTTTTAATAAAAATCTTTATTTATTTAACTTATATATATATATATATACAATAATTAATTCACCACCACATAAAATCATACAATCAAATATTATGTACAATAAAATAATGCATGAAATGCAATGGACCAGTAATACAAGCCCAGTAGCGAGTTCTACTTAGGACCTCCTGATCCCAAAAAAAAAAAAAAAAAAAAAAAAAAAAAAAAAAAAAAATGCCGAAATGGCAACCAATACATTTTCAAGAGTCCTGAACTCAAGGGAATGCCCTAAACAACTCTTTGAGACATTCGGCACACCCTACGATGTCCGGCACTCAAAATGAGAAAAGATAAAAATACCCTCGAAAAAATCTAAAAATTCTAGAAAATGAAAAATAACGAAAATCGAAAATATTACGTAAAGGCATCAAATTCTAGTTTAAAAGCGCTTTTAATGATTACCAAACGGTTAAATGAATTATTATTATTTTTTAAATAAAAAAGCATTTTAAGTAGTTAAAAAGCAATCCCAAACTTGCTATTTGCCAAACTAATAATGTGAGAGCTTATTTTTTGATAACTATTTATGTTTACACTTTATTGTTTATATAAACAGATTTTGAAGATGGTTTCTCGGCATTGAATTGGTTGCTTAATTAATTCATTTACCCACCCTAAATGTCTTTCATATTGATCCTTGACTTTATTTATTTATTTTTATTTTATTTTTTATCAGAGCAAATAATTCAGGCACTCGTTCAACCTTCAACTTTAAAAGGTAAATAAGTACTCTAGATTACTTACCTCCTTTGGCGGTATTGATCTTGATTTTACTATCTATTTTTTATTTTATTTTTTATATTTATGGTGGTAATCTAGGGGAAAGAGAAACTCGAACGAAGACATATCAACTCGAAAAATAGAATATTCTATCAATTAGGTCACTGAATAATGCCCCTTGTCACATATCTCACTTTTTATGACTAGATAACACTTCAGTAATTTTGCATTTGTAAGTAACATTTTTTTTTTTTTTGCCATGTGTTTACTTTATTGATAAAAGAAATACAAAGAATACAAAAGAAACACATCCGAGGGAAGGAAAAACTGAATTAAAACAATAAATCAGAAAAAAGAAAACCAGAACGTACAACAATCGGAAAATGCAACAAAAGTTTTCTATCCTCATTTCCAAAGACAGCAGACAATCAACATAAGTCTCTTTAGCAACAACATCAGCCTCTCTCTATGTATATTAAAATTTGTTACATGGGGTAGGGCCGGGGACCTCTCTCCTCTCAAAGAGGAGGGGAGATGTTGGAGCCCTAGCGTAGGTGCACTTTTTCTGATTCGTTATTTTAACAATTATAAAGTAAACTTTGTTTCTTAACCACAACGATCGTTGGGCTTGATCTGATGCTTATACGATGAAAGTAACTTTACTGTTAACTCAGTGTTTTGCTGAAGGTAATTTCAAAGATGCCTGAACTTTGGGCTCGCTCCAGTCTTTTTAACATTATGTTGTGTAGACTGGGGCATTGGTCTTTCATTTTTGGCTAAATATGCATTGGTCAGTTCTCGTGCTGCTTACAGCTAACTATGAATCACACCATAATAAAGTTTTTCAACACTCCCAATTTGTTTGTTACTTTATTTTCCCATTCAATTTTGGAATTTCTTGTAGTATGCTGAAGTCAGTGCCGTGTCATTCGAGCTTCCCAAGTCAATTGAAAGTGAAAACAAGTATTTCTGAAATCCAAATCAGGGTTTAATTTGAGATTATATCCCCAATTGAATGGTGATTATGATTTGAAATGACGAATAAGGATCAAATTTCACCTTTAATGGCATTTGAAGGCTTCGGTTTCCTCGAAGTTAAAAGTGGTGGGACAAAATATGGTCGTAACCTAAAACCCACTTTATACGGAATTATCACATGTTAGGACCGTAGGAGACAATATATATATATATATATATATATACATATATCATCCTTAAAAGATACAGTACTGTACTACATTTCTTCTGTTCAGTTGTTCTTGGAGCTGTACAAAAAAAAACAACTAAAATGTAAAGAAATGGTTCTCCCACCTCTTCTTCAATCACATGCTGTGTGTTCATGATTTGGATTCTCCTGCTTTCACCTCTACTCTCTGCGAGAATATTATACACCACTCCAGGCAGCATCCGTAAGTACTCTCTCTCTCTTCTCTCTCTCTCACACACAGACATTCAATTTCATTCATTTTGTTGTATGAGTTTTGCAGACGGACATAGTAATATTGGAGCAGGTAGCAACGAGTATAAGCACGGCGGATCTGCTGTACCATCAGGAACGCAAGAACTAAATCAAACACCTACCACAAGTACCAATAATAATGGTTATGTCTCTTCTCAGACAAGTACTTCCAATGATAATGATTATTCTTCTTCTACAAGTACTTCTGGTGACTGTACTGAGTATACACGTTGCAACAGATATACCGGTGACTGTTCTGTGTATACGAGTTGCACAAGTAGTTCAGATGAAACAGGCGATTATCCATGAAAGTTTAGTCAGTAAAACTGAAACAAATAAAGTGGCTGTACTTACCCAAAATAAATTAATATATAAAGTGGCTGCTTGTGGTGGGAATATTTGTGGTTTGTAAAAAAATGTATTGAGATGTGAGAGCGTGTATATTATGCATGCTTTTGTTTTATATATTTAGCTAAATAAAGTGTCATGTATGCTACTATGTTGTTATTCAACTCAACATGTAATAATGTGTCTAATTTTTAACTTCTAGCACTTTGCAGTAAACTCTTTTTAAAATTTTTATTTTATTTTTTTAATTTTACAAATATATATATATATATATATATATATATATATATACACTCAACTGACAGAGTGCCGATAAAGCTTTTGATTGAAAGATCCTTCTGTTTTTTTTTTTTTCGGTACGTAAGTAGATCCTTCTGTTTTGTTCCAGCCAAATGTTGTACCCAATGGCTCCGTATACCATTTTCCAATCTATAAATTTAAAGTTCTTCAAATATTCCTTCCAGTGGAAAAATTCCCAAAATCTCTTGAGGTCTCATGAGTGTTCACTCTACATGGATAAGCAAATCCCAAAAATCTAATCAATTTTACTGAATGATAGATATGTTTCAATTAATGGGTCAAATTGATTCACAATCAAATATTTAGTTTACTGGTATTTTCTCTTCCTCGAACATGTAAAATTAAGGAATTGTGTGTGTACCAACACAACTGAATATGTGTAAATATATTTAGTATGTAAAAAGGGGGAAAAAATGAGTTAAGTTTGAACTTACCTAACACTTTAATGAGCTAAGTTTGAATCAATCATTCCTGTAATGTTTCCAAATTTTTCAATTTTTCATTTTCTGGAATTTTCTGATTTTTCAAGGATATTTTCATATTTTCTCGTTTTGCGTACCAGACACCGTTGAGTGTGCCGGGTGTGTCCGAGAGTCGATTGGGACATTTATTTGAGTTTAGAACCCTTTGGAATGCAAGGGTTGGCATTTTGGCATTTTTTTTATTTTTCGGGCCGGACGGTTCCAGGTGAGACCCGCTATCGGGATTTTGTGTACGGGAGTTATGTCACGGGTCCATTGCATACCATGCATAATTAATTTTATGTATAAGGTAATTTTTTTTTTAAAATGTTAATTGGTGGCTATTATATATATATATTAGTGCATATGCATTTTGTGGTGGCAAAATTAAATTTGAAGAGATATTTTTTTTCATTGGTGGGACCCACCACCAATTGTAACAACTTTTAATGGCCAAGAGGCCATTTTGGCATCACATTCCCCCCCCCCCCTCTCTCTCTCTCTCTCTCTCTCTCTCTCTCTCTCATAGCTCTCTCCCTTATTCTCTTTCTCACTTTTTCTTTTTCTTTTTCTTTTTAGCAAATTTCAAGCTTCAATTACTCTTCAACCATGGGGAAATTGTTGGTGCCATTTGCGGCAAGTTAGAGAGCATGTCAAGATCTTCGATTTGATCGGAGCCAATCCCCGTTTGGTGCACCTTGGAATTTCGAAATTAGGGCTAGGAATTGGGTAATTTTTGGGACTTTTCTCTCATTTAAGGTATGGATATCCTAATCCACAAAAACTCTTTAATTTTTGTGAATTTTCTATATAATTGAGTGTACAGTATTCTTAATTGTGATTAACTTTTGAAAAATCATTATATTACCGTCAATGATTTGTATAGCGATCTATGTGAAATTTCTATGTGTAGATGATATATGTGTAAGTGGTTGTGGATTTGTTGTAAGAAGCATGCTTATGTGGATTTGTTTTCATATATTTTGTGCTTAACATGCTAGATTTTTATTTTCTTGGAAGCATGTTATGTTATTTATGTTATTGTAAAGCATGTTAGGTGGTTAAGTTTAAATTAAAAGCATGATAATGAATATTGACATGGCATGAAATGGCATGATACATTCATGCATAGGCGTTGGGAAGAAATGAGAAAATGATTTAAAAAGGAAAGAAAATGATTTTGGGAAAAATGTTTTTGACGAAAGGTTTGCGAAAAACCCGGTCGCCTAGGAGTTGCCTATGGGTCCGTGGTGTTAATGTGACTTATAAGGAACTAGGGAGACTGCCCTAGCGTGATTGAGTTAACTGGACCCCAAATGATGCCCTGGAGTTGCCTTGTGGTCAGGAACAATTAGTCAATCATTCTCTCATGCCACTATGGAGCTGCTATGAGACGGGTTGCATTAACGGTTTGGAAATGATGACAGAAAAGGTTTTGGAAATAGGGAGCGATATTGCATTTCATGGCATGGCATGGTTCGTTTATGACTTGGATTTATTGTTGTTGATGTTGTGGTTATATTTTTTTTCCGGAAATAGCATGATCCCAGTTCTTTTTCCTATTCCTTATTTGGATTCACGGGGTCATAAGAGGTGTGTCTTAGGCACCTCCTATTGAGCTTTATGCTCACCCTTAACATTTTTCATGTTATGGCAAAGAAGTGGCGGACGACGATCCACCACCAATTTAGTCGAGTTGACGAACTTGGACTCTTTTGTGCTTAATGTGTATATTAACCCTTTTATTGTAAATAATATTAGGGGTCATTTTGTATCTTGCACATGGTTGGAAATGGTCTTGAGACCATCTTCTTGTATTTTGTGGTCTCATAATAATTTCAATATCCATGTAAGGCCTTAAGGCTATATTTTTTATGTGTGATGGATTTGCTTAATTTTAATGATGTATTGGACTTGTGTATGACCTTATTAGATTTTAGTACCACTTAGTAATGTTAGTTTCATCATTATATGGAAGATTTGAGATAGGTTTGGGCTTTGAGTAAGGTTACCAAGGGACCAAAGTAGTGCCAAGGTGCATAAAATCACAATTCTAGGCTGTTTGGGGCAATTGTGAGGTTGTGGGCATCTTGAACCGGTTCAACCCCATTGAACTGGTTCAAGGGGGGATCTTTGGTTTGAGAATGGGCACACTTCCCATCTTGAACTGGTTCAGCTCCACTAAACCGGTTAAAGTCCCCCAATGTACTATTTTGTCTTCTTCAGTTGTCAGCCTGGAATGCTTAACTTCGGACTGTTATAACTTCTTCGTTCCAAACCTAAATAGGGGTCATTCTTAAGTCCATTTTCAAGGATTTTGAGTTAGCTTTCCAATGAGACCAACCTCATCTTCAAATTCCATTCATGTTGAGAGTTATGCTTGTTTTAGAGGAACAGTGTCTAAAATTTCCCTCGAACAGGGTAAAGGTATTTTTGGGAATTCATATCCGATGACTGTAGAACTTTACCGAGTATCATGGAATGAATAGAATGATTGTTTAGACCTCATTTGACTAGTTTGAGGCCTTATTACCCTCTTATATTGTACAATGACCATTTTACCCCTAGTGTGTCCTTGGGTTTGGTTAAGGACCCGATTAGCGATCCGGACCCCCGGTTCGGGTCATTACAAACATGGTATCAGAGCAATGGTTTGAATACCATTAAGACGACGGGTAAAGGCCTACTTGGGATTGCATGGGTGATGAGCACTGAAAAGTGCGCATTTAAACCCCTTAAGCTTAGGTATTCTAGGACCTTTATCTATCTTATTTTCACGTTTTAGATTGATTTTGTATTATTTCCGTTTTTAAGTACTTATCCCCATAATAAGCTAACTCAGCTAAATAAGAGCATAATTGAAGCAAATTTGAGATGAATCAAAGAAAGGAGCAAAGCGGGAGCAAAAATGAGTAAGTGGTGGAAATTCAGCAAGTTCGATCGATCTCAGGAAATATTCGATCGATTGAAAGTTTATCGATCTAGACATTTCAAGATGGATCCAAGCTCTTTTGTCCTTATCCAAAGATCCCATAAAGTTCGATCGATCCAACTTTCTTCCGATCGATCGAAAATATTCCATCTTATCCAGTTATACCACCATACCTACCACTTTTATCTCTTTCCCAAAAATATCTTCAAAATATCTCAGATTTGTCTTTATCCAAAAAGGCGTTGCCATAGAGGATCGATCCAGCTTAAGTTCGATAGATCTCTTCCATGTTCGATCGATCTCACCACAAGTTCGATCGATCGAACTTCCCCAAGTGCAAGAAAATCCAATTTCCAGCTCATTAAAAGTTGTCTCATATCCAATCATTGGGGGGAATATTGGTGTACGAGCCCAGGTCATTGGGGGTGATATTTAACCTACCTATATAAGGAATATGAGCCATTATATTGATAAGAGACACATACATACACTAGAGAGACACAGTAGATATCATATTCTTAGTGAGGAAGAAAAGAAGAGAGGAGGCTAGAGACACAAGCTTGGAGTTCTTCTATTAACCAAGAAGAGGAGCAATCTTTACCATGGAGTTAGCCCTTGAGGGTTGGAGGACACCATCCATGAGTGGCTAGACATCCTCTTGGGACTAGAGTTAGCCCTAAGCATGCTTTCTACATCTTGATTTATGTATTTTTGAGGGGATTTGTATTGTGATACATATTTTGACATATTTATATACATAAATCTTGTTTATTCAATGATTTGTGTGGTTTAATGCTTCCAATTGATCATTTCATTCTATCCATATGTCTATGTATGCTAGAATAGATGTTCATGTGTTTGTCTCTAGATTTTGTGTTATTAATGCATGTCTATGTGTATTGATGCTATGGATCTAGAGATTTTCAAGACATAGTGCTTAATAGAATGCTCTTGTGGTTTATTTGATAGTTCATTCTCATTTCTTGATGGATTGTGCCTCTCCCTTAATTTAATTAGTTTAATTTCATGTCATTAGCTTAATTGTAGTGTAGTTGTAGTTTAGATGTTAAATAAGAGGACAATCCATGCTTGTTGTTTGATGTTCCATACTTATGAAAACAAATAGCATATGTCTCTAACCTTGTGATGTGTTTGGATTGTGAGCTTAAAGAAATGATTAATGGCTTAGTTTGATATATTGTGCGATCCACTATGTTGCTTAGACAATATATACTTAATTGGTCATCCATGCTTGTTGAAACAACCACATACGCACACTATTATTGCAATACATGTTTTCCCTCTCATTAATCATTCATTAAGGGTGTAGAAAAGTTATGCTAAGTGGTGATCTCTAAACCCCAAGATCTCTCTCTCTTATTTTCTCTCCATTACATTTAATTGTTTACTTTAGCTTAAATTGCATCTTAGTGTAATTCAACCACCAACCAATCTTTTGATCACTTGACCTACTAACCCTAATCTCGATTCCACAATCTAATACGACA